TTTATGCCTGTAATTCTAGTTACTCAGGAGGCTGAGATTTAAAGATCATGTTTCAAAGCCAGAAAGTGTGTGCTCTTTTCATAATTAACTATCAAAAAAGACAGAAGTGGAGTGGTGGCTCAAGTGGTAGAGCCCCAGCTTTAAGTAAAAAAGCCAAGGGACAGAGCTCAGGTCCTGAGTTCCAGCCCCAGTCTGGGGGAAAAAAAACGTTCACCTTTGCCAGATAATTTTTTAAGGTATGATATTATTTATGAGTAGTTTTTTGTTCTTATAATTTAGCCTGGGGTTCCTTTTCATCACTGAATATTGTATTGCACCCTCCTTTTGCTTGGGTAGTATCTAAGGGGTTTTCAATGTAATTCTTACCAAGATTCATTTGTAGTAAAGGTTTCCTTGCCACATCCTTAATTCTGACTTCTTTCATGATTTTCCTTGTCTTTGATTTTCTACAGAATGTGGTATAGCTAGATACAGTTGCTTACAGTTATCCTGTTTGGTATTTTCTATATTTCCTGGATTTATCCTTTTGTATCTTTCAATAATTTTGAAAAATCATTACTTCAAATAATTACTTCAAATAATAGTCTTTTCCTTTCTTCTTGTATTATATGTGAAATTTTTAGTTTTTTGCAACTGTGTCATGATTCTCTGAAAATGTCCTCTTACTCTTGTTTTTTATTAAAATTTTAGACATCTGTATTGATTTATCTTCAAGCTCCATGATGCTTGCCTTGGCCCTGACCTGTCTTCTAGTGAGCCCATCACAGTCATTCCTTACATCTATTACAGTGGCTGTTTTGTTTATTTCATTGTATTTATTGATTAGTTTCCACGTTTCTACTTACATTGCCATGTTATTTAATATATTGTCCATTTTTCTAATTTAATTAGCATATTAATTGTAGTTGTTAAAAACTCTCAGTTTGATAATTCCAATATCTGTTCCATTATTTGTATTTGGCTCTGATACTTGGTGTAGATTTGATGTTTTTATGTGTTGTTGTCTTGTTTGTTTGTTTTTCCTTTTAGCATGCCTGGTAATTTTTTGTTGAACATTTGATGGGATATCAAATAGATGGGTCTGTTGTATGAAATTTTATGTGTATGTAACCAGTAGTTAAGTAGTGTTACTATTTGCTTTAGTTGGGTTGTGTGCGGCCAAAATTTCTTCTTACATCCAGTTTTCAAATTTCTTCTCATATTCCCCTGTTTATCTTCTCTGTTGTCTCTCTTTCAGTGAGCTTGAATTTAGCATTTTACTTCTGTCCATATTGGCATATATAAAATAGTAATATGTTATTGATGGAAACAAAGAACAGGATTATTTCAAATTGTTATTCCTGTCCTTTTTTTTTTTCTTGTTTTTTTTTTTTTTTTCCAGTCCTGGGTTGTGAACTCTGGGCCTGAGTGCTGTCCCTGAGCATTTCAGTTAAAGGCTAGTGCTCTACCACTTGAGCCACAGCACCACTTCCGGCCCTTTCTGTTTATGTGATACTGAGGAATTGAACTCAAGGCCTCGTGCATGTGAGGCAAGCCCTCTACCACTGAGCCACCTTCCCAGCCCCTATCTTTTTTTTTTTTTGTTGGGTCCAGTCATGGGGCCTGAACTCTGGGCCTGGGTGCTGTCCCTCAGCTCTTCAGAAGGCTAGCCCTCTACCATGTGAGTCACTGCGCCACTTCGGCTTTTTTCTTTTTTGCTTATGTGGTGCTGAGGAATCGAACCCAGGGCTTCATGCATGTAAAGCTCTACCACTGAGCCACCTTCCCAGCCCCTATCTATATTTTTTTACAGTGAGAACCTTCTAGACACAATGCTCACAAAGTTTGCCACACCAATTATGAGGTCATTATCTTTTAAATCTTAAAATTATCCACACTGATTATTTAAACTGATGAATCCATCGATTTAAAGTGATCCTACCCAGTAGTATCATGACTGAGAGTGTCCTTTCCTGGGATTTTGCTCCCAGTGAACTGATTCTCTGTATGGAATTGCTTTTTTCTCCAGGTTCCAGGGAAATTTGCCTGATAATGTTCTCAAATCTCCTATGGATCTCTAGAAAGTGTTAACTTTTAGTTTGTTAAGTGCTTTACTTTTTGTGAGGTCTAGAATAACTACTTTCAGGCTCTTTGAACATTAAATTGGAAATGAAATTCCTGTGTTTCTTACTAGAACATAGATAAATATTTGAGAATACTTGGTTGTCTAAGCCTTTTGTTTTCCATCTTTGAGCAGTTTCTCAAGAATTGTTGAGCACAGATAACATTCTGACAAAAATACTTTTTTCATATTTAAAATTTTTTTCCAAATGCAGATTGCAACCCTATGCAGTCTGGAAGACAATGAATTCTTGATATCTTCTTTTCCTAAGCTTTGATTCAGCAATTAGGAAGATTTTTTAAAATTGGAGACACTTAACTTCCTAAAAAGATGTAGACTTGAGTGGATGGGGAGAATTCTTGTACCATGTGAAATTTGCCATACAGTCTCCTTTAAATAATAAGAAAAAGGTTAGGATACTGAAATCATCATCTTCTGAGACTAATTGTGTAGCAAAAGGTAGTTGACATAGAAATAGTGTGTTCAATGATAAAATTCAATCTTGTCCAGAGGAGTACTGAGATGGACACTTTGCCCTACCCCAGAAGGTTGGGTATAGCAGAGAAAGTTAACTGGAAAAGTTGCCATAAGATATATTTCTGGGACAATGATTAGGGCAGAGGAAAAACACTGCCTTAGAAAGACATGATTCAATCTATAGTTATTATTCTTTTGTAGTCAGGAATTAGAGAACAAAACAGATTAGGCAAATTAGATAATGTTTCTCCAACTCCTGCTGGATTTATCACTATATTTCTTTTTTTTGGGGGGTGGTCCGGTTGTGGGGTCTGAACTCTGGGCCTGGGTGCCGTCCCTCAGCTCTTCAGCTCAAGGCTAGCGCTTTACCACTTGAGCTTCAGCTCCACTTCCGGCTTTTTTCTTTTTTCTTATGTGGTGCTGAGGAATCGAACCCAGGGCCCAGGCATGCAAGGCAAGTGCCACTGAGCCACCTTTCCAGCTCTATTACTATATTTCTTGAACTGATATATTACAAATTTTAGAACATATACTTGCTCTCTATATCCAATGTAAGGATTTTCAAATTTGGTATCATCCTTTTTAATCAAAATTGAGAATCTTACAGTTCTCATTGATATAAGATTTAAGCAGTAAAAATAGTTTACCTTTTAAATTTCTCTTATGTTCTATCTCTTGCATAGTGGTAGACTTCAAGTTTACTTTTGTTGTTTCTTTAGCTATAAGCATATGTTATGCTTTTATAGAAAATTTTAGAACATTATACATTTTAGCTAATCTCATTTAGTTAAGCACTTCTCTTGAAGTGGAGTGAGTGGAGTAAGGCCATTATGTGACTTCATGGTTTTATGTTTGAGTCTATATATTTAGTTTACTGTTTCAAGTACTATAGTATTACTACTTTCCAGTGAAATATAATAAACATAATTTAATTATTGTATTCAATATAGGAATATTAGTAGATTAATAAACTAGACAATTATTACCTAGTTTAATGTAGTCTCATAACTTTGAAATTGCTGTTACTAACCAAGATAAAGTTGTACTAGCATACGTTTAATATACTGCTTCTGAAATGAAATGACTGTGTGTATATAGAAGAAAGAATTTTTGACTCTGTGAAGAAAGCAAACTAACAGATCTATTGTGGATTACATAATATAGCATCAAAGCAATTGTCATATTAATTTTCTAAAAAAAAGAATTATTTTCTCATTTTGTTTCACAAAATTTGTATTTTAATTATGTTCCTAAAGTTATTCTGTAAGATATTTTGCAAAAAGATATTTTAAGGAGGAGAAACACTCCTTAAAGGGCCGTTAAAATTATCCATTAAATATTCCTATTCCAGACAGCCTTGTTTACTTTTTACTTCTAAGGAAAACAATTATAATTTATATTAGGATAGAAATTATATATCAGTTTGTTGATGCTGTAACACTTGCCAGTTGTTGCTTAAAACAACACAGACTTACTGTCTTTTAATTCTGTAGACTAGAAGTCAAATTTGAGACTCATTATACTAAAATCAAGGTATAGACAGAGTTTGTGGGCTATAGGAGACAATGCATTTATTGCTTATTTGGGTTGTTGTATGCATTCAGATCCTTGCAGTTCTAAGACTGTGGTTTCATTTTCCTACTAATTACAAAAGCCAAACTTCGTTGGCTTTTGACTATTTCTACTTTTAAAACCAAGAGCAGCTAATTAAGTCCATCTTACATTCTATTTCTCTGACATATTTTATTTCTGTAATTTTCCACTTTTGAGGACTTAAAAGATTAGAAAGAACCCACCATGATAATCCTGGCTAAATTTTTAAGGTTTTTAATCTTAATTATATGTGCAGGTCTATTTACCATGTAACATAACACTCACAGGTTCCAAGAATTGGGACAAAGCCATCTTTGAGGAGATTGTAACAGGACTATTATACATTCTATAAACCTAGGATTGAAAATACTGTATTATCTGCTTGCAATACCAGTGACATTTTTCTCCTTGATTTAGTGAATACAATTAAGTGTTGAGATTTCATACTTCACAAAATTATATTGGCTATAATATCTGTAGGGATATTGTAAAGGAAACATTCTAGAGACTTTGGGATGGGGGAAGAAAAATACTTTAAAAGTGTTCTTTTTCAACGAAGTCATAAGTTTTCTGAGTTGGTGTGTGTGTGTGTGTGTGTGTGTGTGTGTTTGTGTGTGCGCACGGGCACGTCTGTGTGTCTGTGTTTTAATGGCTCTAACCTTGAGTAGAAAGGTGCTCCACAGCTGTGGAAAGTCTGTTAATGTGCTGTCAAAGCAGTCTAAGATAGAGATAAGCTTACTCAGAGCAATAACTTTCAATTTATAAAATTTATATAAACTTTCAGAGTGAATGAAATTGCATCTTAATGTTTTATTTCTTTCCTTCTTAGATCATCACAAAATATGTTTATGATCTCCTGGAAAAGGATTGTAATTTGAAAAAAATCTCAATTCCAGTAAGTAACATTTTTTAAGTATATTGCAAATAAAATGTAACTTCTCACTAAGATGGTTTGCAATTCAGAAGAAAACTTTAATTTTAGGTTAACTGTGATAATTTTATACTTAAAAGGTTCTATTGTGCTTATATTGATTATGTAAAATACCTATCAGTATCTTACAGCTCTGTAAGAGCTCTTTAAAGTAATAATCTTCAATGTTAAGAAAAAAATAAAAGAGTACTTGCTTCCACTCTTTTTTGTTCATGTGATACGAGATAGTATTGTAGATAGTAGATAGTAGATTATAGATAGTATAAATCCTTTTGCATTTTTCTGAAATATTTTTATTTAATTGAAGTAAATCAATATTCATTACTTTAAAATATATGCTATTTCTTCATATATATTACATATACACATTTCTGAAATCTTTTTTGTAGTTATTGTTAATTACTTTATAAAGGAGTTACAATTCAGCATGTTAGTTTATGGGAACAGTACATCTATATGTTGTCTCTTTCATCATTCTTCCTTTTCTGTTTTATAACACTGTTCCTTTCCTTTCTGGCAGAACACTCTAGATATTTTGTATATTCTATTCTTTTGGAGTGGAAGGTTTGATAGATTCAAATTCTCTGGTTGAACTTCTTAAACTACAGCAAATAAAAAACTTCTGTTTTTATTTAAAACATGAAACATAAAGCTTTCAAGTGATAAAATAGTAATCTATGTGAAATGATGCTCTGATTTTGTGATGTATATGAGTCTGGAAGACTTAATCCAAGACCAAAGCTTTGCATGAAAATTTTTCATAAGATTTTCAAATTTCTTGAATAATGTTATTCTAATACAAATGGAAGGCTTTGAGGATTTCTTAGTGCTATTCATCACACAGATTGATATAGTTCAATGAAAATAGTTTACATTTTTATATTATAGGTAAACTCACTTTCTAGATCCCACTATTAGTGATTGATTAATTGAAAACAATGATCATTATTCTGTATATTTGTCAATCCTTGGTTTATTTGGAAACATCCTTCTTTAAGAAATACATTAAAACATAAATTTTAGTACCTTTTTTTCAATTTATGTGCCAGTCTTTTAAGGATTCAACCTTCTTGTTATAGTTTTGATGCTAGATCTAGAAAAAACACTGCGTATTCGAATTCTTAAAGTGTTCACCATCGAGGTCTTTCAGATTTTTTGTTAATTCCTAAGTATTTATTTTTTGGGGGGGCAATTGCAAATGGGCTTGCTTTCTGATTTCAATCTCAATCATTGTTGACATACGGAAAAGCTACTGATATTTGTGGTTTGAGTTCATACCCTGCTACTTTGCTGAAGTTTTGGATTAGCTCTAGTAGGATGGGAGAGAAAACTTTAGGGTCCTTTAGTTACAGGATCTTGTCATCTGCCAAAAGGGATAGTTTCACTTCTTTTTTTTCCATCTTTGGGTCCTCTTTATGTCTTTCTCTTGCCTATGGCTCTTACTAGAAATTCCAACACTGTATTAAAAAGGAGTGGAGAAAGTGCATACCCTTACTTATCTCCTTCCTGATTTTAGAGGAAATGTGCTTGCTTCTGTTTATATGTTGTATTACATTTATTGATTTATGTATGTTGAACCAGCTTTTCATCCTTGGGCTAAATCCCGTTTGATCATAGTGTGTGATTTCCTTTATTAGTTGTTGGATTCAGTTTGATTCAGTTGCTAGTATTTTGTTGAGAAGTTTTGCATCTATATTCATTAAGGAAATTGGTCTAAAATTCTCTTTTCTTGATGTGTCCTTTGGGATGAGTGTAATACTAGTTTCATAGAATGAGTTTGGAACTGATCCTTCCTTTTCTATTTCATTGAAGAGTTTGAGGATTATTGGTGTTAGTTCTTTAAAAATCTTATAGAATTCAACTGTGAAGCATCAGGTCCTGGGCTTTTTCTGGAACATAAGTCTTTTATTACCAATTCAATTTCATTACTTGTGGTGGATGTGTTTAGTTGGTTAATGTTGTCCTGGCTCAGTTTGGGCATAATCAATTGTCTAGGAATGTATTCATTTCTACCGGATTCTCCAGTTTATTTCCATATAGGCTTGTAAGGTATTCCCATATACTGAATTTTACTTGACTCTATTGATGTTTTCCTCTTCATTTCTGATTTTATTTATTTCAATGACTTCTTAGTCAAGTTTTCTAGGGACCTGTCAATTTTATTAAAGAACCAACTTTTGGTTTTGTTGATTCTCTTTAAAATTTGAAATAGGAAATTGGAAAAGATTTAACAAAATGTAAAGACTTTCCATGCTCCTGGATTGGAAGAACTAACATTGTGAAAATGGCAATACTTCCCAAAGCAGTTCACAAATTCAATGGAGTCCCAATCCAAATCTCAACATCTTCTTGATTAGGATAAAGAAAACAATTCAAAAATTTGCATGAATAACAAAAGACCCCATATAACAAGAGCAGTCCTTAGCAGGCAGCACAATGTTGAGGGAATAATAATACCAAACTTTAAGCTCTATTACAGAGTCATAGTAATGCAAACAGCTTGGGATTGGCACAAAAATAGTACTGAGGACTAGTGGTACTGAATAGAAGATATAAAAATGAACCCACAGACCTATAGCCATTCAATATTTGATAAGGGAGCCAAAAACATAGGCTGGAAGAAAGACAACCTCTTCAACAAATGGCAAAACTGGTGCTGGTGCAAAAAACTGAAATTAGATGCTAATATACCACCTTGCACCAGCATCAATTCAAAATGGATCAAAGACCTCAATGTAAGACCAGAAATCATGAAACTTTTATAGGAAGGGATAGGGAAATCACTAGGGCTCCTGAGCACAGGTCAAAACATTCTAAGTAAAAATCCAGAAACACAATAAATTAAAGAAAGACTTGATAAATGGGATTACATCAAATTTAAAAGTTTCTGCATGGCAAAGGACATAGCTAACAAGCTAACTAGAAAGCTCAGAGAATGGGAGACTTTTACCGGCTATACATCAGACAAGAGCCTAATATCCAGAATATATTTAGAGCTCAAAAAATTAAACCCTCAAAATTTAAACCCTCAGACAGACCCAGAGAAACAAAGGTTATATGGTTTCCCTCATTTGTGGTAGCTAGAGTGTACCTATGAATCTGTAAGTAAGCATACTGGGTGGTAGACAAGTAGTTACAAATGAATTTAACTGAAGTATAATTGACTTATGAGAGCTCAAATAGGATGATTAGATCAAAACTCAACAAAATCAGCACCAGGAAATGAGTATACCCAAGATGGGAAGTGGGCCCATGACAGAAGGGAAGATGAATGAAGGGTGGAAAGGGGAGAATACGAGCAACAATTCATTGTATATACCACAAAACTAAGAAAACTAAGGAAATGGGTAGATCGAAGTGGGGTGAGAATATTGAAGGGGTGACACTGATCAAGATGCGTTGTATTCATAAGCTGCTTTGTTATATGGCACTGTCTTTACACAACTCCATAAAGATAATTTTAAAAATAAATTTTAAAAGTTAAAAAAAAACTGCATCTTGAATTTTGTCTTCTGGAAAGTTAAGGTAGAATTTTGTCATGCTGGCCCATTTTCCTGTCTTTTTAATTTAGCTTCTTACAAAATATATGAAGAAATTATAGAAATTCTTAGGGTAATCATTGATACAACACAATTCTTATTGAGTCCTTTAACTCTCTTACCTATCTGCCTCGATGGAACATTGAAGGTGACTTTAATTTCTAGATTTCAAGTATGAATTACAATATAGTTGCAATATAGGTTGTATTATATATTAAAATTTAATTTTCTTTATGGAAAAACTGAAATTGGATAGAGGACTTGGTTTAATAAGTATAGTTCTTTTCTTATTTTAAATTTAGGCAATAAAACTATCAAGAATATAGAAAAATTTATATGAGACCTAGAATAAATATCACATCTATTTTTGGTTTAAAATGTTTTCCATATTTTTTGAACTTAAAATCCAAATTCTGGGTGTTGGTGGCTCAAACATGTAATTCTGGCTACTTGGGAGGGTGAAATTGGAAGGAAAGTGGTTTGAGATCAACATGGGCAAAAGTTCACATTTCAACCAATCAAGGGGTACTATAACAAGACCCTGTCTTCCCAGCTATGAAAGAGGTTAAAATCACTCAGATTACGGATGTAGGCCAACCTAGGAGAAAAGAAAATTGCAAGAGCCCATCTCAACAGGTCTATTTAGACTTTCACATGTCTGTAGCTTAGGTGTGATAAGAGGTATTGTAGTCCAGGCTGACACAAGAAAATAAAAAGGCAAAAAGACTAAAGCAAAAATTGCTGGAGATGTGGCTCAAGTAGTAGAGCATGAAATCAAAGCACTGAATTCAAACCCCAATTCTGAAGGGGAAAAATAAAGGGAAAAAACTTAATTTAGTATCTATCCTAAATTATCCTGTATTTTACATATTAAATTTTTACTAACTTTTTTCCCCCGAGTTCCCTTAAATCCCAGAGTTGTAGTGTTATAAGGTGAAACACCCCAGAAGCCACCTTTTGGAATATGAAATAACTCGAGTCTTTACAGTTAGCAGGCTGCAGGCAGCCAGTTGTTATAAAGGCCTGCAGCCCCCAAATACACATAACACAACTAGTAAACATGCTAGAGAGGAAAGAAAGAACAAAAACCAATACAACAATACAAGCTCTCTCTGTTGGAGAGCTGAATTGGGATGCCATGATGACCGGAGACAAACCAGGAGACAGGAAATAAGACAAGATCTCTGAGACAGGGGACATAGTATCTTTGCGGCTGGGTTGGGCCTAAATAGGGCCCAAGCAGGGAGCAGATCCACGAAAAATTCTCAGTTCCAGGCATTGGAGTGACAGTTCAGTAATCTATTAGCCAGTGCCTGCCCCTGCCTCTGCCTCCCAGGTTCCTGTAAGCCTATCACCTGGGAGGCAGGTGATGGACAGGGGTTTTTCCCTCCCCGGCAGCATGAAGACAAGATGCCAGACCCTATC